CTGGCGCTACCAGAATTTTTCGGAGAAGTAGTGGGTCTGGAACGGGGTCCACTCAGCCTCGTGATGATAATTGAGGAGCTATTTCAAGGAAATAGCGTCTCCGGTCTAGAAAACCGAAATTAACGACCGTGGGGATTCGTTGCGCTGACCATGCGACACCCTCTATCCGCGAAAGTTGGCACTAACTTCACCGACAAGCGGCGGTCGCTCGGTCGGTATACTTCGCTTGCGGACTAAAATCAAGGAGTTTGGTTTTTTTGGAGGAGGAGGCGGAGGAGGAGAAGAAGAAGAATATGTACGAGTAAGAAGTATATGTAATATTAGGAAACCACTGCCACTTGCAAAGTAATTTTTAATAGTCGAGTAATGTGAGCAGTTTGTTTATTAACATAAGTTTACGAAAATTGAACTATTTATTGTATATACTAGGACATTTAGATTCCTGTTGGTGATGTTAACGCATTATATAGAGTATAGGATAGCTCAGTCAGTATAGGGACAGGCTACGGGTTGGAAGACCAAGGGGCCGGAGTTCGTGTCCCGGCGTGAGCAAGAATTTTCACTTCTCCGTGTCGTTCAGACCGGCACTGGGGTCCACCCAGCCTCCTATCCAATGGGTACCGAGGTCTCTTGCCTTGGGGGTAAAGCGGCCGGGACATGAAGCTGACCACTCACCTCCAACTAGTGCCGAGGTCACAAAAACGTAGATCTAGGCACCCACTCCCAGAAACGCCTTCATGGCGCAGTGCTTAATTAGTTAAGTATAGCGACAAATTTATCTCTTTACCTTTACTTGTTTAAGGCGCATTTTTACACAGTTAGTTGCTGATCAAAGAAAACATCATAATGATTTCGCAGCACCGTCAGAAGAGAGTACACACAGTTCAGTAAAACGTCGGAAGCGACAAGAGGTGCCGATACACGAAGAATCGCCTTGATTTAGCAGTACGTCAGGGAAGAAGACTAGCAACAAAGAGTCCAAGGAAGAGCTCCTGGTCCTCCAGCAACGATCAGGGACTTGAAAGGCACTGTAAGGAAAATATGAGCCAAGCATTGGCAAAACACCGTAGGTTGACTGACGTAACAATTTCACAAAGAATACAGAATTCTGCTGGAGGACTCTTCAATTTGTCTCAATATCACAAGGTTTGGGAAGGGGTGGCATGTAGTAGGCATGGGAGAGATGAAAAATGCTTATATAATTGTGGTCGAAAGGCCTGAAGGAAAGAAAAGCATTTGAGAGATTTAAGCTCTCATTCGTCTTGTAAAGGGATTATAAACACAAAGACATAATGGCATAAGAAAATATTTCCTTCAGCGCATACATTGTTAGATAGTGTTTCATGTTTCAAAACCAAGTCTCCCTATTTTTTTTTATTGCTAGTGGGGTGGGACTAAGTCCCTTGTACTGCGGCCACTTCTGGCCTATTGTACCAGCCCCAGATGATAGCTGAGGGCGATTGTGAAGCATTTGGTGGAATGAAGATTGGCAGGGGAAACCGAAGTACTCGGAAAGTCTCCCTAAGTACTTCAGCATTAACCACATTAAAGAAAAGGATACATCTGAAAACAAAAGAAAACAAATCGGCCTTCAGTAATGACCTTTACTAAAACTGTTTACAATTGTTTACAGACAGTGCTGCACTCTTGCGCTTAACAAGAAGAGGGCACGTCTTCACGACTAAATTCAATCACTATCATTTTGTTACCAGAACAACGAGCTTCTATCCTAGAAAATGTCACTATTATAGCGAAACTTCGGTTGAAAATTTATATGCAGTACTCCCTCTGAATATTTTAACACGGATCCTTCTAAAGTGTATTTATATGTATACACATAATACACATGCACACAAGGTAGGTCTAAAACATGTAAAGCTATATACACATGTTTCTAATTAGCTTTCATGCACATGCAGTTGGTTACTAGAATTCATTCCTTTGGGAGACCTTTCAATTCCGTTGTGACAGTAATACCAGCTCAAACACGTGAGTAGCTTACGTAACGAAGTTGACGGTAACTCAGACTGCGTAACATCGAACGGTTGTATAATAGTGAATAATGAATTTGAAAGGATGCAGATAAAAGCTGTCATGGCTTGATTAAAGGTACCATCAAGATATTTTCCTGCAGGGATGGAAGACTTAAAATTGTCATTCGGGATAGTGGCTGTCCTGCGCAAGACTCGAAACTGACACCTGTCGAATAATATTCAGAAGCATTACCGATTTTCTTAGCTTTACCAGTGAGGCGAGAACGGCTATCATCAAGTTCGGTGCAGGGTCTTCACATTGATTGATGATAGTCTTACAAAGCAAGTATGCTATCCCTGTCACAGGCCGTGAAGGACCATGGGGTTGTGAGACGGCGAGGCTCCCACGTTTTCTACAGTCGGATCACAGATGGCGGTGTGGTTGTCAGCCTTACCCACCTGTCGCCCTTGGTGATTTCTGGTACTCATTTCTGTTAGAGGCTGAGACGACCCCTGGGCCACAGTGCGGCTGGAAGGATTAGGTCAGTTAAAAATTCAATGACCTCATCGGGAATTGGACCCGCGACCTTCCGGCTTGTAGCACAGTACCTCAACCAACTACGCTACTGCCTGCCCCTAGTCTTACAACAAATATGTTAAGTTTGATTGAAGAATTTTCAAAAGTAAAATAATAGGGATGCCGAGATAAATAATTTGACTATATGACGATAACCGATCAAATAATTTAAATCGATATGTTAAGTTTTGTCTTAACATGCGACAAACACACCGTCTGTGGTTGGTAAAGGAAACAGAATGGTTTCAGTATTTTATGAATTTATATATTGTATCGCCTGATGATGGCTCCGTGAGAGCCGAAACGTCTTGCGTAGCTGTGCCGTAAATTAAATTAACTCAGTCGACACAAATGTGGAAGTGAATTGTTTATTTGATTGCTGTGTTGACAGACATATAAAAACGATCTGTATTTATACACAAAACAGTATGCATTCCCTGAAGAAGAACAGAAAGGTGTTACTGAGATGTGGAGTTCAATATGCTACACATTACTTTCCATTCTGGTTATGTTAATAGCCGCGTTACCTTGCATGATGTAACTGAAACGGCGTCAGTGTAATAAAGGCACTGAAATTATAGTAAACAGTGATCTGACGTTCTTTTGAAATACAATTCTTTTGCTTAATATTTACGAAAAATGGACTATGTTTATTTGATTAAAACTGGAAATTAAAATAATTATTTATTTCAATTTGAATTAAAATATGGGCAAGAAACGCTTGCATTATAAGTCGAATACTGACTCTTCTAACCCATTAAGTTATAAAGCTAATCTAAAGAATATTTAAGAACTTACTACCTAATATTTTTTTAATTCGCTTAGTGGAGGGTTGAGCCCAGCTGGGTCCAATCGGCACGGCGGCCACTGATTGGCCTATTGTACTTGTCCCGGGTGATTATGATGATGGAGAATGTTGCTGGCATGGAGATTGGCAGGGGCACGAGCAGTACNNNACTGGGAGAAAACCCGCCCAGCGCCACTTTGTCCACCACAAATCCCACTTGATCAGACCCAGGATCGAACCCGGGCCGCCGCGGTGGGAAGCCAGCGACTAACCGCTTGAGGTATGGCGCGGCCCAGCTCAGTACCTATCTCAAGGAAAACTCACTACTTCTCCACTACAAAAGATCAATTGGTTAACTCTGTTTAGGGAAATAATCGTTGTTTATTCTGAGAATGAAATTTGTAAATACAATTTCTGGGCAAAATTCCGAGCTTTGGGATGTTGAAGCAGGTGGTACAGAGGCCTATAATTGCCAGTGTATTTTAGAGGCTTAAAGAAGTACCCTAGCATTAGTCGGGAGAACGCAATGAGAAACAATTACTATCGTTCGTTAAGACAAAATGTTCATGTGATTTCCAAATAGCTTCTCAAATAAAATGTGGCGACTAACTCGTAAACTGCATGAATAAGTAACTGCATAACGAAATAAGCTGCCAATAAACGATCCAAATGATTAACCAAGTAACATGTGAACTATTACTAAGCTGTGGTTCCACTCAAAACAATGCAGTAGTACCAGTTCTTAATCTGGATAAATGTAATTGTTTTAAGCTTGAAAATATGCTTTCGCATGTATGCACAATTCTGATCTACCTAATAAAGAAAATATTTTTTTTATTTTATCTTTACATATTCAAAAAGCCAATGAAGTTTAAATTTATAATTAGTAAAATTAGAGATCCGTTTTCACATATGAAAATCTAAATAGCAACTTCCTGGGTTATAGCACTGTATAGCCTCGTAGGTGCTTCACTTCTACAATGAAAATGGAAGTAGCAGATTCCTCCGAAACTCTGATAACAACTTACGAGACGATATGCGATCAATACCAAGAATGCCACTATCTGAACATTATTCTCATGACCTCTAAATATTACATAATATTTTAAAACAAAATAAAAACAAATATTTTATAGCGAGAAACTTCTCAAATAGTTTTATAAATTATTTCACTAATATTACTTGTATCGATAAGGATTGACAGCACTGAACAGAGCCACTTTCCAATTGCAGTAACGTCTGCCGGTAGTTAACCCACCTTGAGCGGCGACTCAGAGCAAACCCCACACCACGCCGTGACTACTTGGGCGCGAATGAAAGGAACTTGCCTGCCCAAGGCTTCACATCCGTTTCCACTTCATTGTTACCGGGATATTCTCTTCTCATTCTTCCACTACTCGGGTCGGTGGGTGCAACACTGGGGTCAGTCACACGCAGAGATACAACGCCCTGCACGTACAGGGAAGAGGGAGGCGTTGCTTTATCTCAGACTAATGTTATCGTACTCACTTCTTTTGTCTAAACAACTGAAGGTCACAAAGAATTTATATTACATCAGACAAGTAAAATAATTCTCAAAAATTTTCAAATGGAGTGATTACTTGTAGAATACTGGATTCCCAGAACAGAGGTGGCCTAAGGCATGAAACGTCTTCGCCCGCTCGAACGCTGGGATTGTGGGCTGTAATCCCAATCGAGGCATGGATGTCTGTGTGTAGGTAGCGGCCTTGCGACGGGCTGATCACCCGTCCAAGGAGTCCTACCGTCTGTGTACAGGTTAAGAAACTGAAAAAAACGGCCAAGGCCCAACAAAGGGCTATAGAGCCATAAATAAATAATATAGAGGTAAAATTGTCCCTGTACTCAATTAATTAAGCATCAGGCCGAAAAGAGGTATGGAGGAGTGGAGATTTTTCTTAAATATTCTTGACCCCGCCCTAGATGGATATGAGTAGTCAGTTAATGCTCTCGGCCGATTTACCCCTTGCGTACTCAACTGACAGAAGATTGGATTCCCATTACAAAAAAAAAAAAAAAAAGCAAACTCCGTCGTTTAAGGAAACTATACCGAGCGAGCGGCCGCCGCTTGTAGGCGAAGTTAGTGCCAAATTTAGCGGATAGAGGGTGTTGCATGGTCACCACAACGAATCCGCACGGCCGTTAATCTCGGTTTTCTACACCGGAGCCGCTATTTCCTTGGAACAGCTCCTCAATTATCATCACGAGGCTGAGTGGACACCATTGCAGACCCACTACTTCTCAGAAAATCTGACAGCGCCGGGAATCGAACCCGGAGGGTTCCCATTGCAGTGGTTTCAAATGCTACAACTGTGTACGGGTATTTGTTCTTATCAGGAACTGCTTCCGTGACGAAAAGAAGAACATCACCTTTGTTTATTTCACGATCCTGTATTTTAACCAGAGATTAGTGGTTTGTGACGGACTAGTGTGCATGATACCGTGACATGAATATCTGAAACGGACGAAGGGTAACTGCCGACAAAGAGTACCAATCAGATGGTTTTGAATTTTCATGCAAATAGTACATGGAATGATTCTGATTTACTTTCATTTAATTTCATCAAGTGGAGGCTATACTTTAATTCTAATAGCACAATAATCAGTTAAATATATTGTCATCTTATTATAAAACTAAAAAAAATATTTAGAAAGAACTTAGTAAAGTAACCATATATATTTACGAAGAAAGCAGTCTTCTGGGATTTGGCACCGTGTATATGTGGTGTTAACCGACGTTTCGGAGGAACGTATCGCCTTCATTTTCAGGGTAGAAGGAAAAATATAAGAAATCCGCAAGCGAAGAGACCGTGAGAACCGATAAAAGCAGTTCATAGTCACCGCCGTGAAAGCCTAAAATCTTACATATATATTTACGTCCAGACCCCATGTTTCTACATTCGGCCGGTTGTAATTCCCTTTATTAAGGACTGTGTGATCGAGGTTTGATTTCTTGTAGGGACAGAAATTTCAGTCTTGGACACCACGGCCAGACCAGTTCTGGGCCCCAGATGCTGAGTACTGGAAGAAATGCGGTCGAAGAGCAGGTTGACAATTCACTGTCATCTGATGCAGGGGTTGCCTTCCTCATACTTTTCTTTGGTCTGCTCTTTTAATTAAGAGCAGGAACAAATTTTAATTCTTGTATGTATTTCCATATTCAAATCTGTTGTGCCTTCGTTAGTCGATGTTCAGTAGCGCTTCGGACAACGGAAATTCAGCCGCTTCTGTACCGGCACCCCGCTCTATCTTTCTCGTCGTATTTTCCTCTTTCCTGTAGACAGAGTCAGAGCTACTTTACGACTGGCAGTTCACCACCAATAAGTTCGTCTTGGAGACAAGCCCCTTGAGAATCACGACCAATAATTTTATTTTCCAACTGAACTCATGCGGTTATGGTCCTTACGTAACATCCTCTCTAACGAGAATAACCGGAATAGCGACTGGCTACGGGTTGGACGAACGAGGAGTCTGAGTTCGAGTCCCGGTAAGGACAAGAATATTCTCTTCTCCAAGTCGTCCAGACCGGCTCTGGAGCACACCCCGCCTCCTATAAAATGGGTACCGGGGCGTGAAGCCCACCACTCACCTCCAGCTAGTGCTGAGGTCAATAAAATATGGATCTATACATCCATTGCTCCATACGCCTTCATGGCGTAGTGCTTAATTAATTAAGCACAGGGGCAACTTTACGTTTACTGAAAATGCAATGTGAGGATTTAGATAGAACAGTGCAACGCTGATGAATGCGTGTACACGGTCAAATGAATTACAAGGAGCTCTTCGATATAGTCAAGAGTATGGAAACTCTTGAAGGAAATGTAATAAAATGACCTTCCCTTGTGATACAGAGTAGACAGAGTGGGAGGAGAACCATAAACGGAACGGGAAATTAAAGCAAGAGGATACAGGATAAAGAGATGATCTCGAAAGAAATGGAATAGCAATCCCGAATGGAGACAGAAACGGCCAGTAAAGGCTAAATCGTGCAGCTGATGGTGGTGAAGATGGTGAGGAGGAGGAAGAAAAATTTCTTTAGTATACAAGAAACTTCAAATTGACTCTTAATAGGTATGCAACTTTTTGACACATTTACACTGCGTGTAGCCTAAACGCAAGTCAACAGTAGTATTCACTGTAATACACATTTAATCAGTAGAAGCTGTTGCGCTTGATTCAGATTAAAAAGACTCCGTGACCTGTAGTCCGCAAGCGAACTATACCGACCGAGCGACCGTCGCTTGTCGGCGAAGTTAGTGCCAACTTTAGCGTGTGTCGCGTGGTCAGCGCAACGGATCCTTACGGCCGTTAATCTAGGTTTTCTAGAACGCAGCCGCTATTTCCTTGAAATAGCTCCTAAACTATCCTCACGAGGCCGAGTGGACCCCGTTCCAGATCCACTACTTCTCAGAAAATGTGGTAGCGCTGGGAATTGAAGCCGGGACCTCTGGATCTGTAGCCTGGAACTCTGACCACTAGACCACAGAGGCGGTCTGATTATCTCAATGTAAATTTCATATTAAGAGAATTCATTCTTTTGTCGACCTTTTAATGTGTTACACTGCATCTAACAGCTAAGTGTGATTACAGACACTCCCCGTACACAATCGCAACTCAGCACGCAATCTCGATTATCTCTGCGGATTGTCGAATCATCAAACGCGATTATCGATAGTCCTTCTTTGGAACACGATTAAATACGTTCGGACGTTTTCATGTCATGGCCAACTCCGTTTTCCCATCTACGTCACTCACGCAATAGAAGGAAACATGCAGTTCGAAACTTTCTATTGTTTATTGATTAGCGTAGTAAAGAGATTGCTCAGCATAAATACGCCCAATCTTAAGACTATAGCAAGTAAATACTTCAAGGATTTTAATTTGGCCTTTTAATTGAAGTCATACTTCTGTTCGCAGGTGTGATCACTTATTTCGAGTTCGGTATTTGAATTGAATGCCGGTCACGGTAGCCGAGCGGTCTAAGGCATGTACTGTCTTCGCTTGTTTGGAAACCGGGATCTTGGATTCGAATCCCACTCAGGGCACGGATGTTTAGTTTGTGTGTGTGCGTTTTTTTTTTGTGTTTGTGTACAGGTAGATGCCTTGCGACGAGCTGATCACCCGCCCAAGGAGTCCTACCGAATGTGTAAGATCTAGAAAAACCGAAGTGAACGGAGAAGTTCATGGAGGTAGGTCTAGGTCCACTGGGGCTGTAGTGTCAAGGGGAAAAAAAAATTTGTAATCAATATTTCACATTACGGGAAGAATGCATGTAACAAAATTTCGAATGAGGAACGCGGAAGAACATATTTCGAGACAGGGGCGTGAGGTCTCGGCTGTATCCCGTCCTTGAGCCCCAGAGCCCCATTCTTCCTTCAGACAGCTTAAATTTAACCGTAAATATTACTAATTTTTCAACTTAGCTATCTTCTTAATTTCAATTATAAACATACACACCAAACAGGTTGGTGTAATGGTCACGCTCTAGACTTGCTTTCGGGAGGTAATTGTTTCGAAACTCGGCCAACATATAGGCTACCCTTAGAATTTTCGTGGCATTCTTCAGTCTCTCCGGGAAAATGTTCGGACAGCACCTCGATTACGCCACAATGGGTTTCTTCTAAATTCTTTCTAATTTATTTTTCATCAGTTATCCTACCAGTGGGGCTACAGCTTCTCGACCCCGATAGCGCTAAATAACCTCAAAAATAAGGATGAAGTTTATAAACAAAGGAGAGAAAGAAACTGCAGTAGGAGTGTGAGTTCAAGGTTATTCCGAAACTGTTGCTGATTGGAAATCTATGCCATTTAATTTGGCAATTTTTACGCTCACAGTTGTCAGCATCGCATGAAGGAACGCTGGCTAGTAACAAAGCGACACACTGAATAGGATGGCATTGCAAACCAGTCGACTGGTCAAATTTTGAAAGCGGGAACACAAACACAGACAGCGTGGTGATCTCATAAGCCTATTTTTTCTCAATGCGAAAAGAAAGACCGCTAGTGAGACTGACTATGGGCTGGATGACCAGGGTCAGATTCTGGGCAAGAACAGGGACTTTTCACATCGTCACCATGAACAGACCGACCCTGGGGTCCAGCTAGCTTCAGATTCAAGCAGTACCGGAGGTTGTTTCCCTGCAGTAACTTAGCCGGGACGTGAAACTATCTTAACATGAAAATCCTCCACATTCTGCCTACATAGTATATTGTGACATGTAGACCAATTTCTAGGCAACGACGGAAATACGGGCACGCAACAATGGAAAAGGTATTGCAAGAAGTGTTTTCTGTGTTGTCCTTGTCGTGCCCTTTGCCAGGCAACGGGTAGCTAAACACATTCCCGCAGAAGCAAACGGGCGGAATATTAGAATACCTACTGCTAGGCAACGCCCGCAATACGTAGGCAACAATCGGATACCTTCCGTTGCTCTGCAAAGCGCTGTAAATACAACAATAAAGGAAAAGGTGTTTTCTATGTGGTTCGCATATATGCAATGTTGCGCAATGGATGTGTTTTCTGTGGGTTCACCTCGAGACTATAAAGTGGTGCAGAACCGAATCAAATGAGGATCAAGAGAAAGAGAAGAAAAAAAAAGAAACGAAAATTGGGTGAGTCCTCGCTAGTCAAGGAAGNATTCACCTCGAGACTATAAAGTGGTGCAGAACCGAATCAAATGAGGTCAAGAGAAAGAGAAGAAAAAAAAGAAACGAAAATTGGGTGAGTCCTCGCTAGTCAAGGAAGAAGGTATCGGCTGAAGATTGATTGTGAGTTACTCTAATTGATTGCGATTAGGAGTGATTGTAAAAGGTGTTCATAAATCCAGTCTTCCAATCTGAAACATGTTATTACAAATCACGGAAGCATAAACACATGTCAATATTTATAGGTTTCGTATGATTCTCAAAACGAACTATCATCATTTCCCTGAATAATACTAACCGGTTGATATTTGTAATTGAGGCGCAATATGTCTTATGTGGGACATCTGAAATTTTAAATATAAAATTTAGACGAATTTCATGCTTCAAAGGATTGAGCAGATAAATATCAGTCAGTCTCCAAAGTGTCTCGTAAAATTTGTAGCTGTACGATGTGAGAATGGTTTAAATATGTGCAGTTAAAGCCATGAGACAGAACCACAATTTTCCGAGGTCACTGGACGCTATGATTCCACTGGCTGTCTCTTATAGTTTGTACATGTCAGGTCATTGTTTTTATCCTTTATTTCCCCTCTGTAGGCTGCGAAAGTAAAACCGGAATTCTGCTAACACACATTGAGATCATCGAACCGTGGACAACCTTACAAGGCATTCCTGCAAGCAGAAAGAATTACCTCTCTTGCAGCATCTTGCCTAGCGCGACTGGGGTAATTGTTGTATCATGACGCTACATAAAAGCAGGAATTGTCTTTCTGTCCTTCACCTTCGGTCTCGAACTGCCAATAGCTTGATTACTACTTACAAAAACGTCGAATGTTTGAACGTTGATTCATTAACACGAGATCTGCTTCTAATGAAATAATGATCCAATGCAGTGGACTCAATAAAAATAAGCCGTTGTGTCGTCAATTCTTAAATTTCAGTTCGGTTTTTCAACATATACAAGGCTTGCCAATCACTGAAGGCCTACAAAGATTTAGAGGTTCCTTTTCTCGTTATCCCCTCGTCCAGAGCAGATCTGGGGCCCTTCCAACCTCCAGTCCAATAGGCTTCATAGGTTCTACCAGTGCAGGTAGAGCGGCCAGGAGTGAGAAGGTTCACTCACCTACGCCGATGTTAAAAATGCTTGGAGCAATACATCCACTCCGTCTGCGCCTTCAGGGTATGGTGCTTTTAAGCATGGGAAAGCTTTACATTTGTTTACATTGTTTCGGTTGTTGCCATTATTATTATTATTATTATTATTATTATCACTATCATCATCACTGCAATCAACTTCATATAAAATTTTAACCAATATTCTTTTTTCAAGGTTAAGTCCATATATAGATGAAATTACTGGGGATCATCGGTGTGGCTTTCGACGTAACAGATCAACTACAGATCAGATCTTTTGCACTCATCAGATACTGGAGAACAAAATGGAAGCACAATGAGAAAGTACATCAGCTATTCGTAAACTTAAAGAAAGACTATGATTCAGTTAGGAGGGAAGTATTGTACAATATTCTGATAGAGTTTGGGGTACCCATGAAACTAGTTAGGATGATTAAAATGTGTTTAAAAGAAACGTATAGTAAAGTCCGTATAGGTAAACATTTGTCTGATAATTTTCCTATCCAAAAAACAAACAAATTCCGTGGTTTTAGTCCGCAAGCGAACTATACCTACTGAGAGACCGCCGCTTTTCTGCGAAGTTAATGTCAACTTTAGCGGATAGAGGGTGTCACGTGGTCAGCGCAACCGATCCCCACGGCCGTTAATCTCTGTTTTCTAGACCAGAGCCCCTATGTCCTTGAAATAGCTCCTCAATTATCCCCACGAGGCTGAGTGGACCCTGTTCGAGACCCACTACTTCTCAGAAAATCTGGTAGCGCCGGGAATCGAACCCGGACCTCTGGATCTGTAGCCAGGAACTCTGACCACTAGACCTCAGAGGCGGTCAATTTTCCTATCCAGAATGGTCTAAAACAAGGAGATGCTTTATCGCCATTGTTTTTCAACTTTGCTATAGAACATGACATTAGGAAGGTCCAGGAAAACCAGGTGGGACTGAAATTAAATGTAAAACAAGAGCTGTTGGTCTATGCTGATGATGTGAATTACTGGGTGATAATGTAGATACCATAAAGAAAAACACACACATTTTAATTGAAGCTAGTAAGGAGATTTGTCTAGAAGTAAAAACAGAGAAAACTACGTACACGTATATGTTGTTGTCTCAACAAAATGCAGGACAAAATCATGACATAAAGATAGGTAACAAATATCTTGAAAATGTGGCACAGTTCAGGTATTTGAGAACGACAATAACAAATCAAAATCTGATTGAGGAGGAAATTAAGAGGACATTTAACTCGGGTAATGCTTGCTACCATTCAGTCCAGAACCTTTTGTCTTGTCTGCTGTCCAAAAACATAAAAATTAGAATGCACAAAACTATAATTTTGCCTGGGCCGCGCCATAGCTCAAGCGGATAGTCGCTGGCTTCCCACCACGGCGGCCCGGGTTCGATCCCGGGGTCTGGTCAAGTGGGATTTGTGGTGGACAAAGTGGCACTGGGGCAGGTTTTCTCCGAGTACTTCGGTTTCTCCTGCCAATCTTCATTCCACCAATTGCTCACCCTCACCTATCATCTGGGGCTGGTACAATAGTCCAGAAGTGGCCGCAGTACAAGGGACTTAGTCCCACCCCACTAGCAATAAAACTAACAATTTTACCTGTGGTTCTATATGGGTGTGAAACTTGGTGTCTGATATTAAGGGAGGAACATAAACTGAGGGTGACTGAGAGCAAAGTGCTGAGGAGAATATATGGATCGAAGAGAGATGAAGTGACCGGAGGTTGGAGAAAACTGCATAATGGGGAGCTTCATAAGTTGTACTCTTTTCCAAGTATAATTAGAATGATCAAGTCAAGGAGGATGAGGTGGGCAGGGCATGTAGCAAGAATGGAGGATAAGATGAATGCATATAGGATACTGGTGGGAAAGACAGAAGGAAAGAGACCACTGGGAAGACCAAGGCGTAAATGGGTGCAAAATATTAACATGTATCTTAGGGGATAGGATGGAATGGTATTGGTTGGATTGATCTGGCTCAGGATATTTACCAGTAGAGGGCTCTTGTGAACATGACATTGAACCTCTGGGTTATATAAAATGCTGACGTTCTTGAGTGACTGCACAACTGACGGCTTCTCAAGAAGGGCTCAGCTCCGTGACTG